TTTGCGCAAACTAATATTTTTAGAACTAAATCTTTTGCTAACAGTAAATAATTTTTGATATTTTATATCATTTACATAAAAGCTGCAGAAAAGAGAGCTTATAGGAGTTAAGTTTAAGTATTTGTAGTCGTTAGTTTTTTATTGCATATTTAAGAGTAACAAAACATTATATTTATGACACTGTTAGTATTTGATGTCACTGGCTATAAAAACAAGAAATATGAATAAATTACCCAGATTTTTTGAGCGGTAATACATGTAAGGCCTAATATTAAAGGATTTTTTTACTTATTATCCTCACATAAACATTCGCCAATGCAAATATTATAAACATTTCAAAAATTATTTACTAACAACTTTTGACAGTATACAGCGAGGCTTTTCAAAGTGTATCCTTTTTAATTAAATTCTAGATATAAATAATGTTATATAAAAATGATAAATATTTTAAATCACTCATAATAAATTAATTACATTAATATGAATTTATCTCAAAATGTGCGTGATTTATGGGCAACTCATTTATTTTACGCACGATCATTCATAACTAACAAGCACACATGTTCGTTTCAAAAATATACGACGTATTTATGATTGATTACCGCATTGTCAACAAGTTATGTTTTTTAGGGAATAGAACGGCAATTTTTTTGAAAAAGGAAACGTTTGTTTTTATTACAATAAACGATTATACTAACAAGTCTGAACCTCCTATGTGAATTTGGGCACATAAGAAAAGCCACCCTGTATAGAATAAACGAGATAAATACAGACTCGTAATAAAAAATATTCAGCTTATTTATGCTCAATTGATAAATCATAACTTTTTAAAATAGAACGATTATAGAACGAATAAAGAATTTTTGTTAATAGTTTTGAACAGTATAACGGTAGAAACGAAATGTTAAATAAAAAATTGTTAGGAAGAATAAACTTTCTGTGTGTGAGTTTGCAATAATAATTTGTTTTACAGTGTGCACTAAGTGCCTAAACACGTTGACTCGCGGGCGCGGATACGAAATATCAAACATAAGACTTAGGCCCATTTACACGATGCCATTTTCTTGTACATGCAAGAGCAATAATTGAATGCAATAAATTGCGCCCAATAATTGGTTAGACCATTTGTTGTTTAGACCATGCAACTTATTTATTGCTTCAATTTAATTGTATACAACAGGCAAGAAACTGGCACCGTGTAAATGGGCCTTTAGTATCCAAGTGTTGACGTACGAAATTCACGCGCAGTCTAAGTAGCGGGCAAACAAGCGGATGCGCGCGCGCAGCGCTCGCGGCATTATCATACGCTTAACGCTTGACACGTCGAACCAGCGGCGGAGCGCGCTATTCATTGGATCAGTGATCACTCGCAACGTCAGGTGAGTTCAACCATTTTGAACTTGTCGCTAGAAGTTATAGCACGTTTTTTATGCCTTCTTTTGAAATGACACCCCTTATTGAATTCAGTATGTAATCAAAACAGTTTACAGTCATTCTGGTTTATCCAAAAAAATCTTGAAGGATGTTCTCTCAAATTACTATATAAAGTATAAAATTAACCATACCGTTCTCTTTCTTTATTAATTTGTTGGACACCAATTCTAATTTTTAGTATCTTCCACTTTAGTTATGAATTTTCGGTTAAAAATATAAGATCGTCGTGTTCGTTGACGATGTGTTTTCAACCTCTGAAAACACGTCACACGCGCGCAAACGCCTGGCTAAAGTGAACAACTGAACACGAAATCGCGACGTCTACCGCGCCCGCACTCGCCACCGCGCCTGCGTGATCCTACGTGAACAAGCACTTAGGGCCACGCGGTATCTGGTGCTGCATGAAACTGGAACAGTAAGTATCAGAAACTCACAGAAGACCGACATAATTTATGACATATCATTCTTATGCCTTTCTTTTAATGAGTCTTCACTCCTAAGAGATAATTTAGTAATTTTAATAAATTTTAATTAAATGATTGTTTATTAACATGTGTTTTATGTGGTAGTATGTGTAATTAGGCAAGTGTAATAAATACGTATTTGTTGCACTTTTTTGCATAATTTAAATGTGCGTTAATAAATCAAGTTTTCAATTTTGTTGTTCACCATTAAAACAATAAGTACTTATACGTATTTGGAAAAATATATTTCATATGTACTTTTTTTATAAGAGCTGTAAGACTATTAATGGCATTAGAAAACAAAAAGATTATATTGGCGTAATGGACCGTTTAATTCAAAATAAATAACATTTTATCATGGAATTTGTTTTAAACAAATTCCATGAATAAATCGATATTTAATAATAGTTATGAAATGGATTTATGTTTATAATTTATAAACAAAAATATTTACACAAGATAAACATACATTAAATATTTTCAATTAGATTATAAAGATAGTTTGTGATACTTTTTATGCAGGATTATGTTATGTTAGCTCAACTTTTAATAAAATTATATAATAGTGATAACAGAGCTAAAACAAAATAGTATCTCTCTTGATATCTCTTACATTTTTTTTCAAAACTTGACAGAAAGCTTTAGCTGAACTTTGGTTATGTATTTTATATTTTTTTCATCCCGGGCAAAATGTTATTCTAAATAATTTTATGGAACATGGTTAGTACCGAAAACCGTTCGAATATATTTCCGTACCGTGTTTACGTGATTTAGTTAATATATAAATAATGGTTTTATCTTATTAATTTATTATTTCGAATATAGGCGTTATTAAGATATCAAAATTTCACTAGCCTTTTCCAAAGTTTTAATATACCATAAGAGCAAGGCCTACACTTTTGTATTTTTTATTTAAAAATGTAACAACTTAGTGCAGCTCCAGCCGTGGCATTTTTGGTGAACCATAAAAAATTTATAAAGATTGATCAAGTGTTAAGACAGTCATTATCACAATATCGTATTTCTCTTCTCTTTCCATTCCTTCTGTGAAAAAGTATAATTAATTCAAGACAAAAATATAAATATGTCTATCAATTTATAACAACGTATTCCGATTATGAAGTTTCTGAGGAAGTATCGCGTTCACAATATAGCACTGGTGTTACGAAATATATTAGACTAATATGACAAGACGAGGAACGATATGTATTGTGTAGATGTTGATAATTCTGGACAAAACCTAGTACCGTGTAGACGTCATATTGGAAGACGTACACAGACGCATCAGGCCGTGTGTGCACCTGTCGAATAGACAAGCTGGTATAGAAATGTCCTCTTAATACCATTTTTAAGTTACGTATTGAAATTCGATCAATCGTTCGCCGTAGCTTATATTAATTCGAACACTATTTGCCCAACTAACCCAACACTGTACAGTAAGGAAACAACAACAACTAAACACCGATGTGAAACATTATGTTGTATATAATACGTGAAACGACATCTAAAACGTGGTCAACGCCAAATCCAATGACGTAGTTTCTTAATGTGATTAACATTTAGATACTAAAAGCAGAAATTTGGCGAATATAACGAATTCGAACCGGCCACGAGTATGAGCTTTATTTAAATGTGCATTCACAAATTGAAATGTGCCTGAGTAAATTTTATTGAAATAACTCAAAAATTTTAAAAACTCAAATAATTTACCCTTAATGTTTCTGCTTACGTCGTTCGAGTACTTATAAATATTAAAAACTGAATAAACTGTTTGTATGCCAAAGACACAATATTGATGATTGCGATAGTAACATTGTAAATATTCATATCATAAGTTTCCTTTCTTTTTCAATATAATTCACAATTGGTCACTAGTACCCAATAACACATAACATTCGTTGTAATATATTGCTCATGTGAAATGTCTAAGGGCACAAAATAAAGCGAAAGTAAGCACACATAAAAAATAGTAGTTTCCATAAATTTACAAATGAAATATAATACAGAAAACAATACAATTTAAGATAAGTAAAGAATTTTTTATGTAATTTAGGCCTCAACATTAATATTTCATTTTTCATTCAATAAGTAATATAATATAATTGAAAATAATATAATTATCAATTGTAGGTTGTGGGACTGGTGCTAACACATTGTGTATTATACATGATTGTAAAGCAATGACTATGACTAAGGAAGTAACATAGTATCTACACAACATTTATTATCGACTGCCGTATTACAAATTATGATAACTTTGATTACAAGTTTAGAATAAGGAACACGAAAATAGATAAATTTTAATGATCAACGTACTGAATATGAATCTTTGCAGTAACTTTTTAAGACTTTATCACGAGTTTAACACATTTAATATACAAGTACTAACTAGTAAACAATTACATTTAACGTTACAATACTTTTAGAATATCGTATTTGATTCGCAAATACTAAGGGAATTATGTCACAATTGCATACACCTATTAGTGTTAAATTTTTCTCTCATATACTGTATCATTAACGCTCAGTTCTTTGTCGATTTAACTGTTAAACAATATAGAACTATTACAACGCTTGAGCGGTTTTATTTTCAATGCAACATACGATACAAAATACTTTTTTATTCTAGCTATGTAAAACTACATCTCACACAATAATTACATTTTATATTATTCTGTCACACTTAAAATTAAATAAGACTAATGTCTGTACCATTTAACACCAGTGTCCCTGTCACATCACGGCAAAATTACTTCGCGTGTAGACATTTTGAACAAATTCGAGCGAACGTAAGCTACCTACTATATTACACATGTATACTGTACTATTAGGAAGCTCTTTTTTTAAACAGGCTATACAAAATTATTTTCCTCATCTCGCTTAGTATTCACCGTGACGTACGTTGGTACTCATTGCAACGATAATGGGTACGTGTCGCATCTAGAAGTCCGTCGTGTGGGGCGTCGTTCGCTCGAACGTCAAGGGCGAATGTCAGGGGGATACGATCGGTGTGGGCGCTAGCGTCGGCGTGGTGGTGGGCGTGGGCGTGCGTGGGGAGGTCACGAGCGGCACCAGCTCGGGCTGGAGCCGCGGCCCGCGTCACACGGCCGGCTCCGCGGTGATCGGGGTCTCCGCGAACTTAACCTCCCGACGCCGGTTCGACGGCGGCTGCAGACTGGCAGACGACGCTTGCGCCAATAGCCTCGGCGGGAGCACGGCTCGCCCAAATGGCGACTGGCGCAGGAACTGACGCGCGACCACCGGTTGCCAGTACGACGTACCTGGAATGGTAGCGGCAATGCAAAAGCTCTGTGTAAAGCTTCTATCGTGATAGGACATTAGCCTACGTAAAAGTTTTTTTTGTTTTGGAAATTAGCAAACGAGCAGGCGGTTTACCTGATGTTAAGTGAATACCGACACCCAACGACTTCTACTACCCCTGACGAGTTGCAGATGCGTTTTCAACATTAACAAAAATTGAAAATGACCCCGGCGTAACAAATCGCGAGCATTTTAAACTACACATGTTCGACGTTTCTCTGCTTAGGATTCATAGTATTGTGATATCGGGTTGGTATTTCGCCAATCCCGCTCATTACCTTTAGGTGCCGCAGTCCTGGCTCGCCATGCGAGGCTTCTAAGACGCCCACGGGCCCCTTCGTGCACGGCGTCGACACTTGCTGACCGCGTGAGGTGTGAAGGTGCACCTTCATTTTCACCCACGCCCGCTATGCCTAACCCTTCGCTTACCGAGTACAGCTTGTGTGTTATGTCTTTACCTGTAATTGATCATAAAGAAATCGAATGCAATAACCAATTCAATTCAAAATTTATTAAAAATAATCGTATCTCTTAATATCTCTCTGGTTAAACTAAAAATTTGATTTAAATACAACAATTTCGATTATCGTTGTAAAACGATATTCGAAATTGTTTGTATGCTGGAAAGGATATAACAATAGATGCGCCAAGCATTGCTTCAAATGCTAAATAACAATGTAGAAAGAAGGCGTTAAGATTTTCGTCGCTTTATCTATCAGTCGTTTAGCTCAGTGGTTAGAGCATCAGGCCGCGAATGCCGAAGACGTGGGTTCGATTTCCACAGCGGCGACAATCTTTTCGTACTTTTTCTACATGTTTTAATTAAAACCACGTTTCATTTCGTTTTTTTATTATGGACAGTCACGTGTTTCGATAAATATTCTTAGTAATAATAGCATATCCGTAGTAATATTGGGATTTTGAAACAGTAATAATATTAGAAAAGTTGGATTTGAAAAAATGCTAATATATAACACCAAGTCTATAGGTACCCAAAATTGTGTGTTTAGCTACATTATCGCCTTGTGGCTTTGAATAGGAAGTGTTTATTGTACAATAAAACGATATCATGCTGATCAATGGGTTTTCTTTTCAATTCACATCGGTGAGTTGAAAACACAACGTGAATGTGAGCATTGTATTACTGTTTGATGTGCGTGTTATTATTATAGCAACAAGAAATTTATTAATTCAACTGAATTCCTTTATCACATCTATTTCTTCATTTTAATTTAAAGCCTTTAAAAGCTTTCTATGGAATAATGCATACGACTTCGAATAATAATAAAATCTCATTTACTGTTTACAAAAGCTTTTCACACAATTCATCATTTGAGAATGATGAATTGTGTACATTTGTGATCGTGAATCGAGTTTTCGTATGTTTGATATAGCAACTTTTCTGATATGAAACATATTTGATCTGCAACAGTTGAACCGAAATAGTCGTGTATGATTAAATATAAAATTAATACAATTTTTAATTACATAAATGCCATCAAATCATAAAGTTTTAAATGTAAATACGTGTACTGTCGCTTAAAGTTATCTTCATCTGGTGTGTTTTAAATCGTCCAAAATGCATCTCGTTTTAAGTACATTGAAAAGTCTTACCTATGAGGCAGTCAAGTACAACTTTGAGCGCTGGCCGATGCCGAAGTACACGCTCCAGCCTCATACGGGGCCAACAAACGCACGTACAAACTTCCTCCGCTACCACCGTTACCTAAACAGATGCACGTTTATGTATTCAAAGACTTATTGTTTTTGCCTCAATAAAAGTAAAAAATAATAAAACATTATTTCCCAGTCAACCCTGGGGGTAGCAGAAATGTGATGCAGGAGAAAAATAAGATAACAAATACATATTACAAATTATAAATATATGTACTTAAGTTTTACAGACATATAAATACTATTATACAAACATACATAATACCTATCGGTAGACTTTTTTACTTTATCTATCAACATTTTGATGCTTTCGCAAAGAAATTGGGGCAGAAAGTTCCAGAGTAGTGTAGTAGTAGCAAAAGATTTGAAGAGAAGCAAATCGGAATGATGCGATGTTAAATATAATATTAAAAGAATAGAGAAGTCATGAATTAGTAAGAAGACGTTGATATTTCCATCACGTATGTAGGAGAAGCTACGCAATTAAAATAGAAAAGAAGCAAGAATTCTTGCACTACTTATTAGAAGAATTAGTGAGCTCATTCACGAGGTTTTGGTTAAGATTCGAGCAACGAAGAATCTGAAACACTAGCAGAACGTCTAGCAGAACTTTCATATTGTCATTTATCGTGAACAGCATAGCAGCTATTATCTATATCACATTGTATGTAAAGTTTTATACGTCTCCGGGTTACCACATCGATACGAGTAAATAGTGGAATCGGTTATTAATTTATTGGAGAGAAAATATTAAAGGAGAAACACCTGATCTGTACGCAAGGATCTTGTGGCATCCTGTGGATCGGTCCCAATTCAGTAGGGGATTTTTGTTCATCATTGAACTGACTACTGACACCCGCGAATATAAGATTAGAATCACGCAATTGCTTTCTGAGCAAACTTTAGATAGGAAATTTGGGGAAGACTTTGGGAAAACTCTTGAATCACTCTATCTAGTAAAAAAACCAGAACAAGATCTGTTGCGCAGAAAAAGACTGTTCAGTTTATACAAACTTTAATTAATATAAGTTTGCCTGAACGAAAGTTTGAAATTTGAAGTACATAAAAATCGAGGCATTCATTCATATATGAGACATCCAGTTGTTCGAAGTATTTTTACACATAGTATTTAGTAATTAAAAACTAAAGTATGTTTCGAGTATCACTTCATAACAATTCCACTTATCTAGAAAATACGACGAACTTTACACTTTTTGTTTAATTGCTTCTGAAGTGGATTGTTCGTCTTTAAAACAGAATCAAGAGAAAGGCCATAATTGAGATAAATGATGAACTAAAAGTAATAGTTGTATCCTATCTTTATTTTGGTGCTCGTTAGTTTCCTCAGGTGGAAGTGTCGTAGAATAATAAAAATAGGTAAAACAATAAATAATTAAATTCACGAAATGGTTGTATCATTTCCCCTACTTGGATAAGTAGCACAGAGAATACAACGTGTGTTGTCTACATTAATCGTAGGGAAAAAACTAAGGAAATAGCATAAGGCGACGTTTACCTAAGTAATTTAATAGCAATTATTTGCCAGATCGTTTAAGATATATTTACATAATTTTATTTATTAAATATATTTTATTAACTAGCTGAAACCGACCACGCTTCGCTGTGGTTTCTTTGTTATTCGTTTCATTTGGAAAATGTTGCTTCTGTATGTTTGTGTTATTAAACATACGGAAGCTACATTTTTATATATAAGGATTATACAGTTTATTTTATTATTAGGTCTAACATATGTAATTACCGTTTTATATTCAAAAAGTAAAATGAAAAAATAAAAATATATATAAAGTTATATTTTTTATCAATCGAAGTATTGTTGTACCATCGTTTTCAATGCAGTTTCGCCATATTGTGTGTGGTTTATTGATTCCATTCCTGAAAATTTTATGGGAGCGCGGAACAATAAGATCTTTGAAATTTTGGAGGGTAGGTTGGGACCCTAGGAATTGAATTTTTTCCTTGCAAGAAATTGCCCAAATTGTGAAAAAAAGTGGTAATCTGTTTGACCAAGGTCAGGAGACTGTGGTGGGTGTTGTAGAAATTACAATCGCAGCTCCTCTATTTTAACGACCGTATATTGTGAAGTATAAGGTCTTGCATTGTACTAAAGCAATAGTGGGCTAGAGCAATTAACTAGTCTCGTTTATTTAATAGGGAGCTTTTCAATCATTGTTTGCAATTGTTGACAAAACAAATCTGCCGTAGTCGTTTGGCCAGATCTTAAGAAGCTGTTGAAGCTCACAAATAACTTGTTGTGAGACAACTTTCTTTTTCTTCTGTTTCAACCGCTGTGATGAACCTTTCCGATTGCACGATTCAAAATTCTCTCGTTCTTGTGACGGTAATGTAACGCAGCACTTAATGCGTGTTTGTTGGTGTGCTTCATTCAATTCATGTATTTCAATTCACGGTACAAATTACTCGGGCTTTTTCACTTTTCCAAGATGTTTCAAGTAAATTAAAATGACTCACTGATGTGTGATCAGCGAATCTGTGTCAAATTCAAATCATTTATTCATCGAAATAAGAAATATACATTTCATTTATCGATAGTCATTTTTTTTAAACTACCACCGTTTCGTAATGAGGTTCCTCTAACGGAGAAGGAACAGGCGAAAGAAACGCCGTAGGTATCCTCTTTTTTGTCATTTTTTTTTCTCAACAAATACATTGTTATACAGTAGGTACATTTTATTTTTTAGAAACAGCTTAGGAGCGTTCATCTCATTCCCAAGGGTTATTATCGTTAATGTATTAATTTATATTATAATAACCCTTTTTAAAAAGTTTTTCATTAATAAATTTCTTAAACCTGTTGATAGACAGGCTTTGCATATTAACTGGGATGGGAGTAACTGGCGTTATAAGCTTGTGTTTGTTCCCAGTGTTTGCATTATGTACATCAGTATTCTTATTAAAATTATTAATGTTTCTATGTACATACATTATATTTTCATATATATATTGAGAGGCTAAGGTTAAAATATTTATTTCTTTAAATTTCTCTCTCAGAGATGCATTCAAATTAAGATTGTAAATTGCTCTTATGGCCCTTTTTTGCAAAATAAATATTGTTTCAACATCGGCTGCATGCCCCCATAGTAAAATATCGTATGACATTATGCTATGGAAATAAGTAAAATAAACGATTCTAGCTGTATTTACATCAGTCAGACATCTTATTTTCCTTACAGCATATGCTGCAGAACTTAGTCTGCTAGCAAGTTTGGATATATAGGGGCCCCATTGAAGCTTTGAATCAAGAATTATTCCTAGAAAAACAGTGGTATCCACAAAGCCTAACTCGTCCCCATTATTATATTAAGTACATTGGCACGACCCAAGTGTTTAACATTAGGTGTCGAAAATTTTATACATTTAGTTTTATTGCCATTTAATAGTAAATTATTAGCATTAAACCAGTGAACTATTTCTGACATAGCATGATTTACCTCGTCAAGTGTTACAATATGTCGCTTAATTTTAAAGATTAATGAAGTATCATCGGCACACAACACTATGTCATGTTTTTTCCTACTAAGTAGGATAAATCATTAATATAAACGAGAAAAAAGGAATGAGCCGCAAATCGAACCTTGCGGAACGCCCATTGATATCATCGACCCAGAAGAACTAGCACCATTAATTACAACTTTCTGAATTCTTTTACTTAAATATGACTTATTCAAGTCAAGCGCGGTATTTTTAATGCCATAATGGCGTAATTTCCTGATAAGTGTTTCATGATTGACGCAATCAAAAGCCTTGGAAAGATCACAAAAAACACCCAGAGCATCCTGTGAATTTTCCCAAGCCTCAAATATATGCTAAATCAGTTCTATCTGTGTGTGATCTGCTTTCACGATCACCTTGAAATCTTCTTTATCAACTAGGGTCTCCAGTCGGCCACGTGGGTCAAAATTTTTCTGAACAAAGACACTGGCACCCTGTTTTATGAAACTAAACGAAAAAAACAGTGAAACTTCTTTAGACGCGAGTAAGGGCTAACTGACTGTAAGCGTTTGGACGATGACAATGCAACGGAAACGCGTTACGGTGATCACGCGTGTGTATCTGAATTACATACAATTTAAATAAAAAAATATGAATAATTTATTACTAATTAATACATTAATAATAAATTAATTAATTTTTCGATATTTTATATATGCAGTATACATATATATGTTTATTTCTGTTTATAGAACCGACGAGAAAACAAATAGTTATCCCCAAAAAATAAATTATTAGTAATTATTTTCTATACACAAGCTTAAATTTGAAATTAGAATTCCTAGCCAAACTAGATATTTCATATCATTTCGAACATTTCAGATCAAAGTAGCCAGTTCGACAAAACGTTAATTTACTCGGAAGAGCTTATCTATTTTATGCACAATTATAATATATATTTATGGACAGTTTTCTACTAGGACAATTTATCACCATAAAGGACTGCAATGCTGTCATGGACTTTACAGTTCTGGTTTCCCAGAGTGCATACATATCCATTTTAGGAAACCTGAATCGCAAACGGATCGCAAAACGAAGTGGTCTCGTGCTACCAAATTTGTAAGGTTTATCATTGTCCATAACACGATCATTACGACGTGCAAAGCATAGAAAGACATCGGTGTGTTTCGTATGAGATACCGGAGCCTTTCCTAATGACCGTTGGCCACCTAAGATTATATTTTTGGTAATCAATATTACCTTGTTCTTTGACCACGATAAAACAGTAATTTATTTATTAAAGTCCCATATAGCACCGAATGGTGATGTATAAAACAGTTTTAAACTGTTTATTGTTTGTCAGACAGTACGAGCCTTTACCTGCGTGGCTTCAATATTTACTAATTAAGATGTATCTTATGTGGTAATGTTTAATTCTACGTGTTAGTTGTTAATTATATTTCAAATATTCAAATCCTTACAGCCGTCATAGTATGAGCATAAAAACAAACATATTTATAATACAAACCCGATTAACAACTTCTGCTACTTCTTGTAACAAAAAAAAATATATATACTCATATGTTAGTGTTTCTTTTATAACCATTTCATAAGTAGATAATTACAAGTTTTCTAATTATTAATCCTTTCTTGGGTCAAAATAGTTTACATGTTAATAGTTTACAGTTGGTTTACATGTTAAGTAGCAGAAACAAACACGCCAACATACGTGTTCTGTTGCGATATGGATGGAAAATTTCTAAGCCCCTATACTCTTTGCTTACACCAAAAAGAGATCTGTCCGTATTGATCGGTCGTAAGGCTTGAACAAAACAAATATTGATTTGCACAGTATCACGGTGTTTTTCAGTGCATCGGTTTTTTTTTGTTCACTCATATATTACTCTTCTAGTAAGTTATTTCTTATGATAGGGTAATGTGAATTGACTAACATGGATTTATAAATGTCTCAAAATTTTTTATTTTTCTTGACCCACAGTGTTAACATATTTGAAAATGCGTATTTTTTCTATATTTTCTAAAATCATATTTCTTAATATAATTAATAAAAAAGTAATGCAATGTGTAATAAAACATTATTAATTCAATAGGCTGTTCAATAACGTGTTAATTCCATAGCGTGTCCTATAAATGATGTACATTTATAGCTAGTTTACGGATTAGATAAATTTTTCTAACCTTTAATGATTACACAAGTTAACGTTACCATTAGGTACCAAGTTAAGAGATTTAAATCTATTAACACATTTTGATGACCTCAAGAAAGAACTACAGGTTCAAGCATGTTATACCGATTTTTAAATATTCTAGTTACATATTTATATAACATAATAATATTAATCAAATTTCAATATCTTTCAGGGCGAACTTTATGGTCCTAATCCGTAAGTGATTGCATTATTATGAAAAGATATTATCGATTGTAGTGTAGATCGAGTTTTACTATGCCATTTATAATGACACAATAATTGCTATCGTAAACCTGAGACGTTTGCTGTGCAAGGTAGAGTCCATTACTAATGACAGTAAATTTGCCAACGTACTCAGCGAACTCCTACACAATCGTCAGTTCCAGGTCCATCTTCTGTCCGATAAAAGTCGTTGGAGAACCCAAAACAATTGTTTGCCACATGATAGTATCTTGGCACCCACGTCCCAAGCTTCCAGTTTCGAACAGATTGAAGACAATCTACCGAAGGCCCTGCAAAGCTTGGAAAAGTAATATGGGGCTAACTCTTTAAGACCGAACTCGAGCAAGACCCAAACTTGCGTGTTTCATCTATGCAACAGACAAGCAGACCGCAAGCTCAATATCCAGTGGCGCGGAATGCCAATTGAGTATGTCGATTATCCTTAGTATTTGTGGACAGATCAATAACAGGCACTCCCCTTCACTGCAGGCATGTCCATATGGAGCCGTTGAGCGCATGCATAACTAGTGGATACAGGATTAAATGAAACCTGCCGGATTATTCCAGGTTGCCTAAAACCGACTCCAATACAAATGCTGTATCCGATAGCTGCTACTCCAGCTCCGATGGTACGCAGAGCTGTAGCAAGCTCTTACGAAAAACCAAGCTGCTGGGTGACACCCGGCACACACTGATCAGAACCGTTCCAAAAAGACTGAAAAGCTGTAAAAGTTTCATGAAGTGTATGCCTCCTCCACGACAAAGATCGATCGAAGGAGTAATTTGGATTGTGGCAAAGTATCCCTCGATGTCGATGTCCCTAGCCCCTTTGTCCCACTGTCTGAGAAACAACCGCCGGGACATGGCTGACTTCGGACTTCGGAGTCATTCGGAGACATATAAATAGACTTCGGACGAAAGCCGGCCGACGCAACTAATTCACAAGTCCCGTATGTCATCGTGTCGATGTTGTCGAGCTAATTATTGCATTTAAATGAAAAATCTGAAGGTCGATTTACAGCAGAAAATTAGTTACCTATCAGTGCCCTTTTCTAATCATATGCACTTAAATTATGTCCGCACATTGTAATCGAGATTAATGTTTTAAAAGTTTTTATCTAAAAACAATGTTGAAATGATGCCTTAACACAAGAAAACAAAAATAAACCAATCCTGAAAATTATACTTTTTAATTATATTTTGTTATTTCGGGCAAAAACTGTTACATTTATATCCGGTGTTACTCACGAAACATACTAGATATTCATTTAAAACTACATAAACATTATTCTAATTATTTCGGTAGATAAATCCTTAGTTGTAGTTCTCGATCTATTTATTATTCATGCCCGGCTGGGAATTATTTAACCTGGCAGGGTGCGGAATCACATAGAGCTTGTCACTACGTTCTGTAACTAACAAATTACTTTCGCGCCTATTATTTCTTGCGAGTGGCGAATGTTCCGAGGTCGCTAGACAGGCGATTAACTGCAGTTGATTAAATGGCAATCGAAAATAAACGCGGCTGCCACAGTTTGCTGAAAATAAGCGCATCAATATACAATAGGTACAAGAAAATTTTAAATAAAAACTATACTAATAAAATTTGTTAATGCTAAAGCTAATTTTAATTTATACTTATGAAAGAAAACATGAAATAAAACTTCAAAATTACTTTTAGTTTGAGGTTTTACTTCAACTCTTTAACTGTTATATAATATTATAGTATTAATTAACTGTTTTTAAATTCTAAATTAAGATAGCATATATCATATATTCAATGATCATACCTGGAAGACATCATCAGATTGCTCACGGTTGGCTTCCCACTCCGGCGAATCAACAAATTGATATGGTTGAATAAAATGAAGATGTGTTTCGTCACAGCTTACCCGCATTCTAAATAAAAAATATAATTTATACGTCTGATTGTAATATTTTGTTTATAATTGAATTATATTATGGAAAAATTAAAGATTCTGATTCTTGACCTATAGAATACCATCAATTCATTTTAAAAAAACAGCGTTATCTTATAAAAAAATATAACTGTATTGAAAAAAATACAGGCATATTATTTATTTCTGACGCATGAGACCATTAATGTCAGTTTTAACCGATTCTATAATTTGGCAACTGCACTATAGTTTTTTTTAGTTTTGATTCGAAAAACGGCCTGTTAACAAAGATATTATCATGATCATTTGATTAACATACATTAATTATATCACAGCACGAGCACGAAAGTAAAAAATATATAATTTTTACTTGTTACATAAATGCTATTTACTTAGGAAAGCTTACCTACGTATGTTGCACACTAAAATACATAAATTATTATAGATATTTAAAAAAAAAAAAAATTGTAGACATTAAGTTGTGGATAACAGCTACTAAAATAAGTATTGTTATGTCTTTTACTATTTAACTACACTATATTGTATTGTCATAAATAAAAATCTATAAAATAATGCAGTTTAATAAAGTGCATACATCATTAAAGTTCGTAATAACGTCGTGAAAACTCCCGACAGATAGCACCTAATATCGGGGCGTCAATATTAATAATATTGATATAATATAAAAATAATAATAATAACATTACGTCGGTATTTGTCTGTGTGTCTGTATGTAAAATGACGGGGCTATCTAACTGAGGAGCCCATGTCACACCAAGAACGAAATGACGAACGTAACGGCCATATAAATTATGGCCTTTCATTTCCTACATGAAAAACATTTGATTGCAAAAACCGGAAAAATGTTCTTTAAGTTCTCAAACGACAAATATAAAGATGAAAGAATAAGAAGAAAATATAAGATGTTATTTAAATGTAATTAATAAACAGATTAAATTAATATTTCGGAAAAATATGACCATTGTAGTTTTCCTGTTAAATGCTAAAATAATATTTTGTAAACAATGTATTCAGGCTGCCCCTGATTGGTTGAAATTGCTATTACCCGATGGATCGGTTGAGTCATGATATGGGGACAGCTGTCACGGCCACATATATAGAGTGAAGATTCTATGTAGTTAAACGTTAAAACAATCAGAGCCTTTGTAATCAATTTTCATCAGTATAAAAGTGGACGTAACTGTAAAAAAATAAATCTTATTCTAAGACATTTGTGTTCTTCAAAGCTATAAATTTTATTTTATAATATTTTTCCAATTATAGCATACTCTCTGTTCTGTTCTGTCTCTCTTATTTCCTGTAAAGCCGTTGAAAGGTAAATGTACAAGAAATTAAATTCGTAGGAAACAATTCCATTGTTACATCGTCCTCAACTTACTAAATATTCGTTTAGAACCAAAGTTATTAGGTCGCAACAAAATTAATGCACATTAATTTTGAAATATTATACAACCCACTAAGCTGTGCAATTTTGAAGGATTTCTCGTACCGTATATGACAGCTTCAAATATCACGCATGTGTGCAACTAAATGCACTCGCTTGCTCTCGTTTTCGCTTCAAATTTGCGTAATTATTTGCGCAAGTACCGCCCTACATAAGACTCTTTCGTAAACAATTTTAAAGCAATTAAGTATTTCCTTTAATCTATTTGCACGCACTAGGCACTGCTTACTTAAAATACCGCATTTAATTTAAGTCAAATATTATATGACTTGTCGATAGTATATTACTATAATTATGTAGTAATCATTTTTGATTTAAAATTTAATATATAATTAACATTCCGGCGGTATATTTTGTACTCATTTTATAAAATTAATTTCGTTAAGTGAAAAAAATTTAAGTAATTACTAAGAAGGTGTTGTTTTATTAAATATACGTACATATGAAAGTATGTTTTACCCCAACCACTTACATGGGAATTCAAAATGAGAATTGAGAACTTGCTGCATTAGTGGCATTGACCAAGCCCAAAGTAATAAGCCTGACTGACCCCTCTACTCCGTAGAGACCGTTTTGATACCGACCAAAGCTCGACGCCCATAAATGTTATGCAGTTATACTCTGTTATCTGAGTTCAGTAAGTTAGAAAAAATAGCGCTATCGTATCATTTTATTAAAGCGAAATCTTATCGATAATTAATTTCTATCAGACCCACTTTGATAACAGTCACTTGGAGGGCCGCTTTTATTAATATTTTTTTTGCTTATCCGTAATTTTTTTTAAAACAAAAGTGAAAATACTTAGAACTGACCATTTCTAAATGCATTCTAAAGGTTAGCATAACAACAAAAATTTATTTGAAAGAAATACCGCATGGTATGGCACTATAGAAAATTACTATTACTTTAATCTACTTAGCAAAACTAACATTGACTCACTGACGGACGCACATTTTCAACCAGTGTGCCTAAAACTATGAACTTTTACATAGGGTTTCACACAACTTAGGTAAAAATAAGAAAGGATTTTTGAAAATTTGTTCACTAAGAGAGTCAAATATTGAAAATGGCATTTAATTAATAAAATTACTTACGAGTTATACAGATTTCAAGGTAATCAGTTCCTTGTGATGTACTAGAAAACATTTGAAACATCGGGAATCAAGAAGTACATGTTAAATGCAATATTTTTTCATGCAAATTATTTAAACATGTTTTTCTTAACAACATTTTTTAAACATTAGAAATCAATAACAGGCATTCCAAATGGGATATATCTAAAATAGAATATTTATGTCGGAGACATTACAAAAAAGGTACATCACTGAAAATTTGCGATACACGTGATCCAATTTTGAGAAAGGATACTATGACCTGTCAAAGATTCTTGTGTCGTATCTTGGATTTACCACTTGCTGGGTAAATTTGCATTTGTCATGTTTTGATTTTTAGTAAAGAAAAAGTAAAGTATCAGCCTATACATGTCCCACTTCTGGGCAAAGGCCTCTTCTGTACAGAGGGTATCAGAGCATAGTCCACGAAGCGGCCCCACTGCGGATTGGTGGACATATATCTTCGAAATATTTTTTTATTATTATTATTTCGAAAATACGCTGGTTTCCTCAATATTTTTTCCTCCACTGCTGAGCACGTGATAATTCAGCACTTAAAATTAATAATTTCTTCGGTGCCGTCACCGGGGGTCGAACTCATGTTGCTCGAGTATATTGAATACAGGCGACCGGACATTAAGCTATCACGGTTGATTTGTAGGCAGGCTATTTATATCAATAGTATACAACATAGATTGTGTAGCATATCCCAACGTTAGTTTTATTGCGGACGGTGTTCTAAGCATCCTGTTTAGCGTCACATTTAACGAATTGATTAAGTTTTGCAATCTTTTAAACGATAAATGGATAGAGAATATACGAAATTTTTAACGTCTATTATTTTTATTTACAAACATTTTCTTATCCTTGTTTGTAAAAGCCTTGAAAAGGAATGCATTTAATACTTACTTTCCCTTTAAAAGTATAGACAGCCTCTCGTCGGCTGGCGTGACCTCTTCGAGTGCATACGCCTCGCCTGGCTCCAAGCGAACTATCCGAGCCTCCCGCGTCAGCTCTTGGAAGTGTTTCTTATTCACTTTCAAAGGCTTGAATAGTTTTAGGTACAAATCTGTTAACTCTAACGACAACGCCGGTGGAAGAAATCTGTAGACAAACCAAATATAGCCAAAGTTGTATTCATTTTTTTAATGTGAGAAAGTGGCAAATGATCTGGTGGTTCACCACGTCTTCGCTAAAGTGGCTAAAGCGTCAGTGAGCGAATCCCGAAGACGTGGGTTCGATTCCCACAGTACAATCTTAAGTGCATAGATTAGCACCATAAAAATTTAAATATCTCACAAATTTTGTTAATTCAGTACAAAGTCAAGGGCTATTTTGTGAGGGTCGATAGAAGTGACTACTGAATACTTAGGAGTTGGAAAATAAGCAATGAGCTTGTAACATAATTAATTACGACCGTAATTATACATGAGTATGGTTAAGCCACTTGTTTCAATGTCGGGGTCCCTCGTGTTACTGTTCTTGGAATGTTAAATGCGACAACGCGTTTTAGCCAAAAAACATTTATTATAAAATCTAGAGTCAAAATAATCAGTAATATTACTATTGTTAATTGAAATGGATGTATTTTTTTTATATGGGCAAAGTGCGGGTGGCAAATTATATAGATATATATATCAGCCAAAATTAATAAGTTAACTATCACCGACAAATAACAACTTTCTTAAATTATATTATTAAAAAAAATGTACTAGAAATATCTAAAACTTTTGGATCGTGTAACTTTAATTTTAATGTTAAATACTAGCCGAAATTTTGTTTGTTATTCCTATTCTATCAAAGTAAAGGTTATTGAAATTCTGTATAAAAGTGAGTGCGTTTGTGTTAGTAACGCCAATTACTACTTTATCGAGTCAAAACTAGGTACGGTTTTAATTGGCAGTTGCTTTGGATAATTAGATCATTCGGCCACAGTGCATCCGATGAAGATGGAAGTTTATAGATGTTGACAAACGAAGATTCTCATTTCATAGCATTACGGGCTTTATCGAGTACCAAAATACTACAATACTAATAGGGGTCTATATATCTATGTCATCCTCATCAACCGTTGCTCCACGTCAGTGAAAAATTAATTGGGAGTACATGGGATGTAAGGGAAATCAACGCTTATATTTATAATTTAAGCAGGTTGTAATAATCTAAGGTATTTATAGAGTAATATGAATACCTATTTCTATAATGTAAAATATTACGAGTACGACACAAAAAGTTAAACTATAAAAGTACATAATTTTTACGACACGTGTACTCTCGCTCTAAGACTATTTTGATTGCTTATTTTAATGTCAGAAACTGTACATTTTATTTGGGCTTGTTTTTGAATTCTGTTAACGTCTGTTTTTTTTTTTGTTTTGCACATTACATTCACAAATTTATCTTTCGACGAGAGTACTACTTCACCCGCAGTCACATTTTAAATCGATGAATATAGTAAAATTTGATATTAACTAAGCAAAGGCGCTATCTGAAACCGAGAGATATGTCAAGAGGTCTGGTGGCGGACGAGCAAATCAGGTTGAAGATTAAAGCGTTTAAGTATATTAACCTTATAATTAAGAAGACCGTGTGAATAGAGTTGACGAGCAGCAGTGCTAGGCTCCAGGCGAGAACGTCGGGAGCACACACTTCCGCGCCCGCCCACATTCCCATGAGCACCGCACCCGCCGCCGCCAACGCCCGCAGCACCAAGATGCTCTGCTTGAAGCTTTTCGGCGCGAGGAACGCAAGCGCGAAGCACAAGTTCGCCGCCTGTCCATTCCGTTAAATAATAAACTATTCATTAACTTATAATTGCCAAAGCTAATTTATCGCTGACAACTACGACATCTTTATTATGTATGAACTAATTGAATGAAGATAAGCAAGACAACTCATATAAGTTAGTCTCCTTTAAAAGTAAACGTTAACTTTACGCGGTGTTCGCGACGAAGCAAAAGAATAGAGCGGGAACCTGGAAGAGGTCCTGCTGTGCGCTGGACCACTTGGCGCAGAACCAGTGGTTGTCGTGCTCGTCGCCGGAGCTCGCGTTAAGCAGCTCGTAGTCGCTGTCGAAGGTGGCGTTGGGGCGGCTCGCGTTGTAGGCCAGCGTGGCGTTGAGCCAGGGCGCGGCGGAAGCCGGCGCGGGCGCGGCGGCCATGCTGCGCTCGCGCCCCGCCCGCGCGCCCCCGCCGCCCCCCCCACGGACTCCGCGCGCCCTCCCTCGCCCCTCACCCGCCGACACGAGACGATTCAGCTGGGCTCTTGCCTTCAGTATTACCAACTCCATCCCCACACGCCGCGACCGCTCGGCGCGCCCGTTGCATACAGTTTTTATCTGAAACAATCCTCGTGTAAACAACACCGATATTTGGCTTTGAACGTGGTAATAGTGTGAGTGTTTACCTTCCAGTATGCTAAGGGACCAGGTGTTATTGTTTGAGTTTGTCCATAACAAAATTAAATATCATCACCAATTCAATTATTCTTTACTGATCCGATAAATGAAGAATTTTAATGCGTGGATATATTTAGCTAAAATTTCAGGAAATTCGCATTAAAGCAAACGCGATAAAATCACTAAATTTAATTTAGCTTAATAATGTATTCATGTGAATAATTATTATAAGACCTTATCCGACAAATACAGATAAGTTGCATTCATAATTTCACTCTTAATCGTCAAAAGCTGTGTTAAAGACAAGGGCTTTGTTATTCAGGCTTCTTATCATAAACTTTCAATGCTTGTTATATACTACGAAGAATATGATTCGCTTTTACTTCGATTTATTGTATACCATCGAGAGCAATAATTATTTTTTATTGTATTTTTTATACAATTTTTCTGAATCACCTCTGAATGTTTATTTATATGCATAATAGTTAACAAAACAATAACAAATGATTAGATTAATTCCTGGCAGCTTGTTGTCTGTAATTATAAGTTAAAATATTATTTTATTTAATTTTAACATTTTACGTTTATATGACAATGATACGCTAAAGTTGATGTTCTCTATAGAGTAATAAGTAAGGCAATATCACAACTTTACATTAAATCTATATTTAAAATCGGATTATATCACGTATTTTAAATAGTTTTCAGTTTAATAAACTACCAAATAGAAAACAATCCTATAATGCTTTTTAGCTTGACCTTCGTCATTAATCGCATTGGCCTTGAAGTTCGATAACTAACAGTTCGACTTAACCTTTACCGTCTTACGCCCGGTTTCTGAAACAATGATCATCGGAGAAGTTAACTAATCAGCTGCGTTAATGCAAAAAATATGTCCAAAAGTAATTTTTGTTACAACTTTCTATACTAGAGAATACCCTGATAACAATATCCTGTATTCACAATAACGGAACGTTTTGTGTATACACAAAACTATTCGTCAGTCACTTAAATACTTGTCCCCTGTGGGAATAGAACCTATGACCAGCGTCAGTTTTGTATCTAATTACATATATATTTAATTACATTTACGATGTATATCACGGTTCGAGGCTGTGAATCGTTCTTAAGAGACTTTCATAGACATTTTAGAATTTTTTTTATATGAAAAGTTGCCAAGCGAGCAGGTGTTTTCACCTGATGTTAAGTGAATACCACCGCCCATGGACATCTGCTACACTCGAGGGTTTGAAGATGCGTTGACAACCATTTGAAAATTTGGCTCTAGCTACCTCACTCACCAGACGAAACGTGAAAGTATTAAACTTCCACTTTACGCCGGTCTTCTGTGAGGTCGTGGTACTTACCCGGATGAGCCTGCCCATTCGTGCAACAGCCAGGCTGTCGCGTGGCCCTACCATGGTTAAATAGAATAACTGCGAATTTAAATTTCCATATATTTCAGATTATAAATGGTGAACGACACTGGCTTAAGATTAAAATCTTTTCACCTACTAATTTTTAAATAGGTAAAATAGTTTTAATGACACGTATAACATCTCCAACTAAATTTATCACGCACAGTTACGATAAAATCTAAGCTGTAGAAATATTTTCCGATCGAAATATACTTTCAAAACTCAAAACTAACTCCCATAGTAATGCGAGCTATCGCGCATAAGAGACAGGAATTTAAGAGTTTAACTACTCAGAACAACTCTCAGAGACTAATTTCTATTGTATTACAAAAATTAAAAAGCGGGTAATACGCAGGTAATAAGTTTTTTTCTTCACAACAAATATCTTAGCAATGAATAAAGTATATAAACATTTTCTGGAATAGTATTGAACTGTATTGAATGAAGTGAATTTAGGTCACTGCGAGTCCTTCATTTTTAACATTACGGCCGCGTAGCGTCGTAGCTTCGTAGAAACGTTGAGCATTCGGTCGCTATCGGTATTATCGAAGCAACGCACGATCTTATGATATTACTTTCACAAGAACCCAAAACTTTTCCAAGATTTTTTTACCTAACAATAATTACATTTGCTATTCGTTTTTCTGTTCATTTATTATATTTATTGTAAACAACTATTATTATTTATTTGTTTTATTATTATATTTCTTTTGTTAAAAAGTATGTTTGTTCTTTTTTTTTGACTGTAAAGTTCGTGATGATTTTCGTAGCGTGTATTGTTTTTCTTTTTACATAAAAGTAAAACCGTTTTATATGCGAAGATTGCGGATATGCTGTTTACTAGGTAATATTATTATTATTTTTTTGTTAATATAGTGAAATATATTGGAGGATACCTTAGAAACATGTATTTACATATTTCAAAAAATTTAATTGGAAATTCGCGCTCCTATAGTAGTTTCTATTTAGAATTTGGTACTTTTGTTAGATTTCATTCGGGAATTATAAAAACCAATAAATCTTCGCTACTCTTCGGTACCAAAGATTTAACTAACATACATAATTTATTAAATGAAAAAAAAAAAAAAACCCGACTGCTTTAAAACTACTGTCTCCATTTTTTTGCCGGACACAATATTTAAATAGTATATCCGAAATCACTAGCACAACTGACGAATTTAAACGCCTCGTAAGTTAAAACCCTTAACATTTTTAGGCTGTAGAGTGTGCCAAAGAATGAGACTTACATACATTCTTATATAAGGTCGGAAAACATTACCTTCTTTTGGCAGTCTGGGAAAACTATAAACTATAACTATTTGTGGATCTTACGTAGAGACATCAACCATTTAGATGCGTGAGTAAGATGAGCTTGCTGATCGCACCTGATGCGGATATAGGACAGATTGCAACTTTTATTGTTGCACGAATAGGCATCCAGGGAAGTTCAGGGCCTCACAAACGACCGGCGAGAAGTGGAAGTCATATCTTTGCGTTTCGTAGTGATTGAGGTAACTGGGCCCACTTTTTATTGTGTTGGCGTTATCTTCGACCCGTCAGGTTTTGTTGATATGGACATCTAACGCACGGACATATATATTCGGACATAGATATGTGGGAGAAGTAAACGGAGTCCAAAGCTCAAAGCTCCCTGCTCATGAGCACATTTAGTGACCGATGAACTGTAACATAGCGTATGTTGCAAATTTGTTTGAAATAATACGTATGGGATACACTTGACAATTTCTAACTTTACGTGTTCGTCCCTCGGAGAGTTTATGGTTAAAAATTTATTCTTTGATTGGGATAGGAAGAGAATACTTCTATAATAAAAGTCATTTTGAAAGATTTAATTAAAGATCTAAGCTACTTGAGAGCTTTTGGAATAGCAAATGTATATTTTATGTGTATACATGCTAAAGTCAATATATACAGAAACTCGTGTCAATACATATACGGAAATTTAAAAACCTTTTTGTTTACATTGTGAAAAATGGACTGGACGTCATGTTATTGTACGTATAAGTTATTAAAACAGTTGCCGCGACAAAATGTCGCATAAATGCAATTTATTTTTGAAAAATCGCAAACAACGTAGTGGGCAACTGAACACCCGTCTTTCATTAATTTAATCGTGTAAGAAGGAAACGAAGTCGGCTTCTGGGTTGGCTCTTTGAACAGAATAATGGGGTCATAAGTTTTGCGGTTTCGGCGTCCGTTATCCGTCGCCTTTCCGCCAGCGTAAGTCATCGAGCTGGGCCGGCGGGCGGGGCGAGGTCCGGCCTCGTTATCGCCACATGCATCGTCGCATTTGCATTAAATTGCATTACCTCAGGCCACCACAGTCGACACATCGCCATTAAACGGCTCTTTTGATAGGGCCGCAGTTTTTATGGTACGCTCTACAGTGTTCCGTTCGACTTGATGACGTGTTTTATTATGCAACGTTTCAATAATGAAAGCAAGTTATACGAGTTATATCGACTGTTATGTCACCGTTAATACTACCCGTACAATTATAATATAATACCCATTATAATGCCGTGGAAAGTTGAATAATCTAAATTATTTTATTCGTAAAAGCATAGTATTGAGCGCAATTTTAAATAGTCGTGTCCAATATTGTTAAAAACAGGTTAACAAAATCAAATTGATTTTAATTAAAATTTAAAAATGCAACGCCTTTGTAATTTATTAATAAATTCTTTTTCTTGATTATTTTTATTCCTTCGTTTCGTATTAGATTAAAGCGAAACATGTTGGTTTTTTTTAATGAAAAAGAAAAAGTAGGATGTAATGTATTTATAATAGGATGTAATGTAATTAATTATAGGTTATAAACGTAAAACCGTAAAACTGGTTTTAATTTTATAGTTAAGTTTCAGTCATGTAAATGGATGAAATATTATTTTAAGTTTAATAAACAATTATTAGAATGTGTAAACGATGTGTCAATATTTTCGAAAGCGGGTTTGATGATTGCATGATACACTTATATTACATGGACGTTTGCATGAATTATGAATAATTATGTATGTGGAATCTGTAATATTTCTTCAATATGAAAAAATTTTTTCGTACATTAAATTTTTCACTTTTATAATTGCGATTTTTGGATCTAAATGGCGCTCAAAAACTTTAAAATTAATTAGCTTGGTGAAATTAATTAGATGGACTTCAAAAGGTTTGTTTTCCAATCTGCGTAGGAGAAGGAAAGCTCCAAAATCAAACTTGGAACTGTGATCCGTTAGGCACTAGTAAGCTTTAAACTGAAATACGTGGCGCATATTTCCAAAAACCCAAGTAACGTGAGGCCGAAGCTAGAACGCAGTGGCATCAGGGTGATGACGTCGAGAACGTAACACTTCAAGGCACCCGGATCCTATTGGATTTCACTTGTTACCCGTCTGAACGAAGCTCTGAGAGGCTCGACGGACTTCTTCGCCATGAGAACAAACAAGTTGTTAAAGTTGG